TTTCTGGTTCTTTTTTAAAAATATTTTCAGACAGCAGATAAGTGAAACTGCAGATACCGATCCCGTGGATATGGCAGTCCTACTATATTCCATTTGGCCTTTATTGGCTTTTTCTTCACCTAGTGTACATTTCTTCCAGCTTTATCATGAGAAAGGGTACCTAATTAATCTCTGTCTTACTCACACACACACACACACACACAGAGCATGCGAGTGTAGGATGGAGACCATTGAGTTCACAATGGTATTTGGAACTCAAAAAAATGGAGGGTCAAATTTTTAAATTCCCACCATAGGCGATGGTTACCCTGGCTAAAACCTAATGCCATTTCTTGTTGTTTCGTGCTGTCAGGTCATTTTTGACTTGTGGCGATCCTAAAACAGTTTTTGAGACACGCGAGAAGTTCAAAGAGTGGCTTCAAATTGCTACCTCCACCATGGATTTGAGCCCAGAACACCAACGTTGTTGTTGACACACCACACCCCTCAGAAGTAATGGTCACCACATGTGGCCCTTTGCTAGGATACAGCACAACTACTATTGTACAATATTGTACAAAGCCACTCTCCCATGAAACAGCTTGCCTTAGGAGACCGACCGGGGTGCCATTAAAATGGAGGGTTAAAAAAAAACCCAGACCATTGATTTATTATACTTTTTACCCCTGATGTGTGAGGAGACGAGAGCAAAAGCGTTCTCTGCCTACCCCTTAGTGAGGAACGTCCCGCGGGCGTCAACCAGAAGGAAAAGTTCATTTTGGGTTTTCTGGCTGTTGCCTGTGTAGAGGTAATGCTCCAGCGGGACAGGGCGCTTCAGCGTGCTGATCACATAGATCTTCTTCCTCTTGATCCTCCTGTAAGAAAGCAAAAATGCCATTGTTGGCATTTTACTGGATCCTTCATTCTCTGGACTCCTCTCGGTGTGTAGACACTCCAGACCAGAGTCCTGGTGTAACCATACGATGGAATGGGGCTGCTGAGGTGGCCAGCCTGTGGTCTACTGGCAAGATGACATCCCTCAGAGGCCCTGCCTTCCTACATGCCTAGAAAACTTTACAAAAGATATATTTAAAAAATTGTGCAGGAAGCCCCCTTATAACCTCTAAGACTTATGGGCGGATGATTATTTGCTACCTGTAGGTAGGGTCTCCTGGGCTACCCAATTTTTTTAAAGTGATCCATCTAGAACGCACAAGGGGCTTTCTCAGTAAAAAGGCCTCCACCATTTTTATATGAAAAAATAAATTGGGAGATGGTGCTTTCGGGAGCAGATGTGTGCTTCCAAGACACCTTTCCCAGCCCTTCCCCTTGACAATTTTGTCCAGTCGTGTTCGACTCCGACTTTAGGGGGCGGCGCTCATCCCGCTCTTCAAGCCATAGAGCCAGTGTTTGTCCGAAGAAAATCTTTCCGTGGTAACATGTCCAGTGGTTATTAGGCATGGAACGCTGTTTACCTTCACACTGAGGTGGTCCCTATTTATCTACTTGCATTTTTGCATTCTGCATGCTTTCGAATCGCTAGGTTGGTGGGAGCTGGGAGAAGTGATGGGGGGCTCCCTCCATCACGTGGATTCAATCTTACGACTGCTGGTCTTCTGACCTTGTAGCACAGAGGCTTCTGCGGTTTAACCCGCAGCGCCACCACGTCCCAGCCCTCTAGAAGCTGCCAATCCCCTGCTCCACCAGTTCAGGTTGCAGATGACGTTGAACGCTCCCCTACAATTAAAGGAAGGTTCCTGCAAAGGGAAAACTAACACAGCCGAGAACAAGCAGGAGCAGCGAAAGAAACCACAGACCTTCTGTCAATGGTTATTCTTTTGTGGTCTCTGCGACTCACGCAAATGGGTCTTCAGCACCTGCACAGAGGCTAATCTGGGTCAACACTGCCTGGTCTCCCCCAGACGAGTCATGGCCAGAAGCCATGGTTTGCCTTTAGCTTATCGTTTCGTTTAGCCGTGCCCGACTCTTCGTGACCCCATGGACCAGAGGACGCCAGGCCCTCCTATCTTCCACTGCCTCCCATAGTTGTGTCAATTTCATGTTGGTTGCTTCGCAGACACTGTCCAGCCA